CATAAGAGAGAACTAAACAATATCAGAGAGTGGGTTTGATGTTCCTGCCTGTCATTGTAAATTCTAATAAAAACCTGTTTTTAACAGACATTTTTAAAACTGCCAAAAACTTCAGTTGATCATAATTTTATAATTTAAATGGGTCTTAGTTTTTTTATGTGTTTTTTTTTTTTTAATCTAATCCTCAAAGACTTGCAACGTGTTTCATGTTGCTTGAATTATAAATGCAGAAAAGAAATTCACTGGAGAACTCTGCACCCCCAGAAATGCTACTAAAAGGCAGCACTTAGCTACCGATTACAGTCTGTGTTCGCTGCACTCGCTATATGAAAATTTAACAGGAAGATTCTGAACTGAAGCCATCCGTGACAAAAACTCAGAACCTGGCTGTGGGAGTTTCTCAGTTGCTCTGTGTCATCTCACCATAGTGCAAAACCTACCTGCTCTTTTGCACTTTTGACTTATTTCAATTTCTTTTCCTGCTGTTTTTTGTCACATCTCAGAGCTCAAGAAGCCAGAAGATTTTACTGCAAAGCTGCTAAAATATACAGATACATCCACATTATTTGTAAGTGTGTATTTTATTTTAAACAACAAGCATATATTATTGCAGACATCAGAGCTAGTTTCCACAAAAAGGTTCAGAGAGGAAACTGGAGAGTCAAAATAATCATTTATGGCATCTTGACAAACATAGACACTCTCATCAGCTAATACTTGTTAAAAACATTGTCCCTGGGACATAAGTGAAAAGGTTATTTGATGAGCATTTGGCCATATTTATGTATCTATATCATCTGCTGTGCTCAAGTGTGAAAAGTTGCCTTAATATATGCAGATGTGCATAACTCTCTTCTTAGGCTGCAATTCTCTGCATGATTGTCCTGGTCAGTCTCCACTGTAAATTAACTTCAATCAGTATATAGAATTCTTGTCACGTTGATATAATTTTCTGCCTTTTAATGTCAACGCATTTAGATTATTTGGTTATTCTGAATCTCGAAGGAAGATTTTAACAAACTTTAACTTTGAGGTTAAATTTCGTAGGTAAAGCCACAAAGATAGATGCTTTAACCATTTCAGACATTTCTGCTGCTGGCTCAAATATAGTTACACAATGCCTCTTTAATCCTCATTTTCATCAGTGTTGGTTTTGATTTCATCTAAAAATCTGTCGGCTCTTAGAGCTCGGTGTCTGTGTGTTCAAAAATGCCTTGCTTAGATATTTGATGAGCGAGCACAGACTTCAGATGTGTTCTCTCACATCTTTTCTTTTCACTATACAAGACTAAATGGCATTTTTGGTAAAAGTTAAATTCATGTTAAATTTATGTAGCTCATCGTTTCAATACAGTCATGTTTTTGTTTTTTCAGCCAAGCTTGTCAACAAAATGTTAATTTTGTATATTTACAGATAATTTTGGCTCTGGCGCTGACGAACAGTATCACACAGTATCATGGCAACATGAGTCTCTGCACGTGTCTTTTCATGCACTGAAGTGTGAGTGTGTAGGAGGCTGCATAGCTGGTAAAGTGGGCCCTGAAATAGTGCATATCATGACTGTGTAAGACCCTGTGGAGGTTATGGGGTCACACTGCTGCATTGCAACAAGCTCTGTGTTTTTGTGACTTATGTAATGGCATATGGAAATAAATATTTTCATATATAAGTGTGCATAGGAGGTACATGTGTTAAGGTAAACAGCAATGGGTGGGCAGTGTTCCCTGTCTTGCTATCTTAAATCCACGCCATTAATGACACTTGAAAATACTACAACAATCTCAAAATATGAATGTCATTAAAATATGATGTCGTCAGCATCTTGTTGCTTTGAACATGGCTATTGCAAGTGAGGGGTAGATCTGACTGACAATCTAGGGCACAAAAAACGTTTAAGTGGAAGTGATTTACTTAGATCAGAAGGTCCACCTTATTTTATACTCCTTTCTTTTCTCTATTTGATCTGAAAAATACCTTAAAATACCTTAAAATGATCTGAAAAATACCTGAAGCTAGGGACTGAGATTATAAACCCATTAAGAAGTGTTTACCAAGGTTATAAAGTAAGGGAGAAATAGAGTCATTTTCCCACAGACTTGCATACAATCAGTCTCCTTCTTGCCACCAGAATTGTTGCCCCCTGCTGGCAATTACAAATAATGCAGGTTTAAGTCACTTTATTGGGGTCACTTTTCTCTTTCCTTGGAGAAGAGAAAAGCAAAGCCAAAGCCTCAACTCTTTTATATACAGCTTATACAGCAGATACAACACACAAGCTATTCTGAATGCTTTTAGTTTTGTTGCTCTATTGCTGTTTTGTAGTTACATATGACTGATTCACATTTCAAAACTAATAAAGCCATAGCCATCTTTTACATGCAGTCTATGTGATCAATTCATCAAAAACTTATTTAGATACATGATATTTAACCATACATACTGTGTTGTTTAGTTTTTATTTTATTTACCCAGTTTCCATCTGGGAGATTCTTGGATCCATATTAATATGGTGGAAGTTAATTTATTTATTAATTCTGCAATAAAAACGACAGCCAAATCGCTCTGCCTAAAATAAGAATTGTAAGTTATAGAGCATCAGGGATAACATTCTTCTCCTTTTTATTATTTTTGTTTGTTTCTTACTGAAATGGGAAATCAATCCTCAGAGTAAGCACTGTACGCAGCTACTTATTGTAAAAATGGTTCCAATAGCACACTGTGTGAATAATTATTTTTTTCATCCCTCCAAAGACACATAAATGTGTGAGCTCACCTTTTTGTGCCACCGCTTTCCCAGTGAAATCACCGGAGATGCATTTTTATGAGCATTTTATTGTATTTATGTATCTCTTTTGTGTCCCTCTCTGTAAGCACTTAGTGACATGTTTTACTGAGATTGCTTTTCAGAAAACAGAACTGGATTTAGATCTACCGCTTATTGTTAAACACAGCACGCAGGAGCAGATATTGCAGACATTCACAAGGTTATGTCCTTAAATGTCCTTATAGGCTTCTTGTTCCACTGAATGATTACACTCCCACTAACACTTTGGTAATTATTTTTTGACTGCATCAAACCTGCCAATTTCAGATTTTGCATTTAGAGGAAGGAACGCATTGTCGGTGATTTGTGCTTGTTTGTCTTCAATTGTTCTGTTTTTTCCTTCATATCATCCAATATTCAGTTATTCAACATTCACCATCTCGCCCACTCTCTTTCTTCCTCTGTTATAATTAGCTGTGTTTGTAAACATAAAAATCACAGCCATAAAAATACAAAGAAAGTAATGCTGTGTATTTTGTGTCTGTGGAAACTCCTGCATTCTAGATACTTTTGCTGCTTAACTGTTTTGGCCACAATCCTATGGTCTCTGTTAAGGAAAACCTAAATTCTACAGCACACAGTGATATAATATAGCTTTTCCCAGCTTCGTGACAACAGCTTGGGGATTTCTGTTTCTGCTTTTACCTTCACCGTTCCCCTGAGCACAAAGCTGGCTTGTATTAAATGTATTAAATGTGTAAAATGTAATTTTTAAAATTCTATAAATCACATTGGAAATGTTTGTTTATACCGAAGACTACATTTAAAAGATATGCAATTTTTAAATGGGGTGATATGCTTGAACCCAGAATGCAGAGGGGGTGGGTGTATGTGTAGAAAACTGGTGTACACACTAAAATTATAAAGCTCATCTGCAACCCTGTTTTTATTAGATTTATTAAAGCAAAGTGAAAAAAAGTATTTAGACTTTTTACTTTTTCAGTTATGTAGAAATTATAATTCTACTTAAGTAGCTAATAGTTCACTCAAAATTACACTTTTCAGAATCCTATTTATGATATTATTGGATTAAAATTAGCAGTTTATTGATGTGTGTATATATTTAATGTTACAGCTGTTGATGTTTTTAATTAGCTATGTATAGCACTATAGCTTTATCTAAAATGATCCAATGAATCTGAAAAATACCCAAGTAACTACAGCAATACTAATAAGTATGTGCAATTAGTAGCAAGTGCAATAAGTATATTAAGAATATAGTTGAATACATTCAGAAAGCAGCACAATACTAGTACAAGCACTGAAGTAAATGTACTCAGTTACAATCCCATTGGTACTGATCTGTGCTCTCATCCAATGTGGACTGTAAGATGAACAGTACTGTACTTCAATGTCTTTGGTGGGGTGGCGCTTGGGGGGGGGATCATAGCTCGGGAGGGCTGATCCTACTCCTACTCTTTTCTGTTGTGTAAGCCTGAATAAAATTTAAGCAGTTGAGTAATCAAACTAACAAAAGAAACCAAAAATTTAAAGCTGGCTGTAAACAAGCTGACTCGCTACCAGCACATCGCCAAATCTTCAACCAAACCTTGTCTAAGTAAAAGCCTCATGACACAGTATCAGCACCAAACCTGACTGATGTTCAAATCCCTGCACCGTAGCTTCACAGCATGATGACGAACCTACCCATACGAGCAGAGGCTGTTATAATAGATTTAATGCCTTTGGTATAGGAAGCACATAATATAGCTGTTAATATAGTGTGTATTCAAAACTGGCCTCATTTGACTATAATCCTGGTTTGGTTTGATTCACCCTCCACTAAAACGCCCACTCTCTTTTTCTTTTCTCCCTCTAGCTCTTTATTCTCTCTCTCCTCTTCTTTCTCCCTCCTTTCTCTTCTTCTCTCCTCATTTCTCTCCATCTCTCCCACTCTCTTTCTTTCTTTCTATCTCCCTCGCTCTCCCTGTCGCTCCGGCTCTCCCTCTCTTACCCCTCCCCCATCTGTGGGAAGCTGCCGTTGTGCGCATGTCGCCGATGAGTCAAATTGTGGAGGCAGTGCATGCACACACACATACACACACACACATATCCTGTCTCCCACGAAGGCATCTGTTTCAGTCTGTCTCTCTGTGAGATGCAGCACCAACAGAGAGAGGGGGAGACAAGAAGAGGGAGGGAGAAAGAAGAGAGGAGGGAAGAATAAGAAAAAAGAGGTGTGAGAACAGAGGCACAGAGCAGAAAGAAAGGAGAAAGAGAAGAAGGGCTCAAATAAAAAAAAATTAAGAGTGAACAAAGATAAAGCAAAGACAAAATACAAAATACAAGACTCTTCTTCAGAAGAGGAGAGGATGCTGCTGCAGCTGAGCATCTATGCCTGACTTCTGAGGAGTTCTCAGCTCGGACATGACTGACATGCAGCATTCCTGCATCTGAGCATCTCTAGTCCGTGCATGTGTGTGAGAGAGAGAAAGTGAGGGTTAATGTGTGTGTGAAGCCATGGCGAGTGCTCAGCCGGGGGTCCACGCGTTGAAACTCCAACCTCCTTCCGTCTCTCACACGCTGAGGAACGGAAGCAACTTCATTAAATGGGATGAGGTAAGGACTGATTTTCCTCAAGCACAAGCAAATAGTTTTATTTAATTCTACTACTTGAAAAAAATAAGGAGGCTGAGGAAACAGTCAAAGAATTGAAACTAGCTGAATTAATGTGGAGCGTGAGAAATTGAGGAGGAAGAGGAGGAAATGTGCCATGTTGTCAGATGTGTTTACTATTCATTTGCTGATTGAGCTTTGGCAGTAAGTACCTGTGGATCTTACCAGTGAGGCAGATAGTGTGTGTGTGTATGTAGGTGTGTGTCTGAAATGTGTTTCTGATCAGTCTTCTATCCACCAGTATTCATGTACTGTGTGTGTATAAAGCCCACACATACTTACTCCTGTGCCCTTCATGAGCACAGTCAAACACAAGGTATTTGCAGAGCTGTGTGTGTTCCTCTGTGTGCATGTGTGTGTGTTGGTATGCTGAAGTACAGAGCGCTGACAATGAGGAGGAAAAAAAAATGCTGTCCGGTTGCCATGGTAACTGACATGGTTACCAGCACCTAAACAGATCAGGTGTGTGTGTGTGTGTTTATTATCACTGCCTTGAGGTTTATAATGTCATGGATCATACTTATGGAGAAGTACTTAAGAACTAATCCAATGCAGAGCTGAATCCATTCACAATAGCTTAAACTTGTGTGTGTGCGTGTGTGTGTGTGTGTGTGTGTGTGTGTCTGTGTGTGTGTGTGTGTGTGTGTGTGTGTGTGTGCGTGTGTGTGTGTGTGTGTGTTGATATTTGAATCTCTCCAACATGTAGAGCTGGGCTTTATGAAAAATAGAATCAGTTGCTATGGCAACAGGTGACAACCAGGGAGCTAGTTAACCAGCTTCTGAGCTTCTTCTTCTTCTGGTTTTTCTTCTTCCAAATGTAGGCTGTGTTAACACTTTCAAGAAAACAAAAATCCTGCAAAAGAATGTGAAGAACTTTATAAGTACGGACATCTAATGTTTAGAGGACTGAGCTCAAGCTGGTTCCTGTGCCTTCTGAGAAATAGGGATGGAGTAAAAAGTCCCTCCAAGGGTTAAATATATGCCCTTTTGAATAGCTATATTAATTATAGCACAGCAGGTAAGAGGTATAGCTTTGCCAGATTTTATTGACTAGTATTATGAAACAGTTTGTGTACGATCAGGAAAACAAAGAGAAAAAGAAGTACCATAGAAATATAGTGTTGCCGAGGTTAGCAATTGTGCCACATGAAAAGCAGATGCTGATGTGTGACAGACAAACCGTCTTAGTAAGAGCCTTAGTAAGAGTTTTAATGCTAGTCATTTTCCATGCATGCAAACAATTAATTATTTAAATTATTGTGTACCCCTGTATATAATTTTGCACCATTAAATTAAGGTGCAACATTCTGAGCTGGGACTAAAGACAAGTTATAATGATAGAACTGACGAGGATACCTTTCTTTTCTCCCTGTGACATCTGGAATAGTCCAGCTTAAATCTTAAATCAATAAATTCCATTATTCTCACTCACAATTCACAGCTTTTTACGTATGAGGAGAACATATGTTCTTTTCTAAAGATTCTGAAGAAATATGGGAAATTTTAGAATTCAGTGACTAATTTAGTGTTGTTCAGTTACTGTATTTAGTTACTGTAAAAGGTGATAATAGTTGGTTTATTAGGTGGTATTCCTTCCTTGTGGTGGACTTTTGGCCACTAGTGGATATTCCAGGCTCTTTTTTGCATTTGTATCCCTAAAATATATTTCATACCTTTTCATATTATTTAATTTTTTTTGTCCATTATTCAGTGGTTAATAGACAGATTTTTTTAAACCTGGTTCTGTTTTATTGTGATTTTTCTGTGCTTGTAAGTTTGTTCAGCAATGCACTTGTGATGTATTGACTGAATGACAATAAAGGAATCTGAATTGGTCATCAGTGCCCTTAGCTTCTGTTGGTATTGATTTCAGCTGCTTTCCTCAAAGAGGGGATTAGTTTATTTCAGTAGCCTATACCCTTTTACTTTGCTAACGGATATTTTGCCTGTCATGGCTACAAGCTGCCAAACTACATTAACCTTTCCAGTTGTCCCTGGGGCATCATTTCATGCGGGTGTATGGGTCGATTATACGCAAGTTAGCCCACATGTCCTTTTTTCAATAGTATGAGCTACTTTTTTCAAGTGGGTGTGTTTTACCTATACTCTTTTCCTAACCCTAACCATGTACTGGTTTTCTGGCAGTGTATAGTATAAAGCAGCAGCCCAATTAACCTATGTGCCAGGCATTTTTTATGGTTTTCATTTAACTAATACCTAAATAGATCTCTGTTCCTGTTAATAATTTTTACATATTAACAAAACACTTTGAGCAATTTTGTAGAAGTACAAAACTGATATCCATTCACAGTAACTGAGTCCAAAACCTTGTTAGGCTAAAGCCTTCACTACTGTGTGCAGCTGTGAAAGATGCAAAAGATTCATGCTGGAAGTGGGAAACTGTCACTGTTTCACACCTCCCTGCTCTTGTTCTGCACACAGATAATACAGCTGTTGGGTTTGAGCATCAAATCAATTAAGGTTTAGCTTATAAGAAGGTGGACAGCACTATATTAATTAGATGTAACATTAAATTGTATTGGAACATCTTATTCCTGTGCCTCAGACAAGATTGTTTTCAAGTCCGTGTCAAGGTACCAACAACAAAGGACACATTACGCATAGCATGGAGGCATCCAGTAAAATGTAGCATTACAAGCCCTGGGATGAGAAGGCACTGGCATGCCATAGTCTTTGTTTGTGTGTGCCCTTTTAGGAAGATTCAGTGTGCTAGGACAATGAGAACAAAAGATTTGAAAGTGGAGAGAAATCAGTCCAATCCGTGCTGGTATGGAATAGAAAGAAGCAAAGCCGGTGAGCTAGTTTAAGCAGATGAGTTGAGCTGCATGGTTTCATGCTTCACTCTGCTCAGATCATACATTAATGACATGCAGTTTGGTGGTTTATTTAAGCAGCAAAGTTTCCCATCGCTCTCATTTCTGACATGTTGATATTTATAACCCGAGAGGTCGAAAGCAACCAATGTTACAACTATAATCTTTAACAGCATTAGTCAACTTAACAATATTATTATTATTTTATTATACAACAATCCTTTAGTAGCCTTCATTATTTCATTGAATCTCCTATTACTGAACCAGCAAAAATATTGGATTCAATTAACATATACTGTCAATATGATATGATGTCTAAAACCTTTTGGTTGAATTGTCTTGTTGTAACTATAACTATAAGTCACAGCTCCCCGGTTACAAAAGCTGCAGGTTAATCAACTTTATAAAGAAGTCTTAAGTTTGCTTCACCAACTTTGCAAAAATGACAAATTTCAGCTTTAATTTTTGATGCTATGCTGTCTTCTTCTGGCGTCACTGGCATGTTTGTGTTGTTCGATATTTAGACTTTTTTGCTGTTATTATTGATTTTGTACAGCTTAAGTTGCTTTATTTTTGATTATTAACTTATTTTTGATCTGTCACATTAAATCTTTTGAACCTTTTTGTTTGATTCATGGCAACTGAAACTGTTAAAAGATTCCATCAGTACCTGTAATAAAGTCACTCCAACTCTATCTCTGTTTTGCAGAAAAGCAACTGAAACCACTCTGATTAAACTTTTACTAAACTGTATAGATTCAAAGCTTTACATAGTCACAAATCTTTGCACTCCCTTGAAGCATATTCAATTTGGCTGCAAGCTTCAAAACATCAGTTTATCAAATAATTTGGGGGATTCAAACTGCTTAACCCCCATATAAAAAATACTTAGTAAGTATTATTTTTGTCCATTCAATACTAGATATTTACACCAGGCTTCAAGGTGCTTTTATTTTTAACCAGTAATTAGCCACAGAAACCGGTCCTCTGAGACACCTGCTGTGTATAAAATGCTATGACTTTTCAAACAGCAAAACATCAGAAGAGCTGCTCTGTCTGAATCCACCTGGAGCCAATTAGGAACTATCATGGTGGGTTAATATGGATAGATAGTTAGTGTTATGACAGCTGAAAAGAACTTCTGTAACATGAAAATGAAATCGCTTAGTGTTCCCTGGTTAAAAGAGGTCACGCTGTAGTGAGTAGTAAAATAAGATTCTGGACACTTACAGTATGAATCACTATCACTTCATGCCACCACAGACAAGTGTATTCTTACATAATTTTCTCGCCCTACCAAGTAGAAAGTAGAACATTTTTATGAGTGCATTAGCTATGTAAATGATTTTTCGCTTGAGTTTTTATGATGTTTTACGGTTATTTTCATTCTCTCCACCTGTCTCCCTAGGATTTGTCCACTGTCACTCCAGTGACTCTGCATGTGGATCCACATGGATTTTACCTCTACTGGACCGACCAAAACAAGGTTAAGCACAAAAATCAGCTGTCTTAGATATAATTCTCTTAGACTGGCTGTAGATATTAAATGATGAGGAACAAATTAAGCTTGAAACCTCAAAAAGTGACATTAATTGATTTGGTGACTCATCAATATTCAGTATTTCAGTCAATAAAACTGGAACTTTTTTCAGACTAGATTCTGAATCAAAGATGAATCATTAAATGTTTCATTACCTTCTTATTTTATGCACATTTGACTAAATTAATTTGCTAATGAAGATTGGTTTTTTAAATTAATTTTCCATTTTAAGTTTGATTAAATGTTGTCTGAATCATTTTTTGTGCACCTGTGAAGCAATTTTATTATTTTTTTATACACAAAAATATAACCAATACAGTCTAGCTGTTAGTCTGATCTGTTTTTGCTATGCTATGTTATGTTTTGCTATAAGATGCTAAATATCTTGCTTCCACATAGTCTTGTCTGTGACCTTTATCTACTACAGAAACTGCATACATATTTACAACATTCAGGTTCACTGTGCTAACAATAACCAGTTATGTTTTTGGAATGCAGAGAAAAAGATATACTAAATGCTGCAGTTGGAGATCATAGCAGAGCCAAAATGATTCCCACCATGTGTAATGATTTTACAGTTTTCTTACCTTTGAAATGGTTGCTTTGAAGTTTGTGACCACTCCCAGCCAGTTCCTGTCTTCAAATGATAGTTACACTGACTTGGTCAGATATCAGTCTGAGTTAGCTTACAGTTAAATAGCAACAGGTTGGTAATTACATGCAAACTTTTTGTGATAATATGATGATTTATTGTGATAAAGCAGTGAACATAGCAACTCTGTTGCCATCTACATACAGAGAAATTTGCATTAAACAGAAAAGTACAGTAAATACTTACATTCAAAGTCAGTCAAATCAGAACCACATAGATTTGAAACAAATATTAATAAAGGCCTCCACAAATAATGAGGTAGTTGCTGCAAGATGGTGATTTAACTGCAGAATGGCATAAACACTCAGCATTCCAGCTTTTATTTCAGGATATAACCAGAATACAGCTAGTTTGTCAACCAGCTGAGTCGAGTCAGCTGCTGCAAAGACATGAACAGCAGACAAGTTGCACTCAGCAGCACAGACTGATTCAGATTGGTTGCAACACATTAGCAAACTGTCAGTGTTCATAAATTAGACATCAATTACTTGCAAAGCCTCCCCAACCTGTTTGAGAGTGAGTCAGTCTGAGTTGGACCGTGATTATTTGGAGACAGATTGCTTCCCATCAGGTGACTTGTGCAATCGCCTTGCGATCATAAGTGGCCACCCAGACGTTCAAAAACCCAGAGGTTAGCTTTGTCACCTGAAAGTATGAAAATACATGAGAAGCACAAACTGTGTGCTATTCAGGAATTAGCTGTTTTTATTTTTTACAGACAATTCCAAGAATGTTGGAATTTTTTTTTTTTTTTTTAGCTTTGTTAATCAAGAGGCTTGCCAATGTTAAGGTTATGTATTCATACACACGAACTGTAGAGATACAATGTATAGTCAAAGGCTGGGTGGATACCTTTAAAAGGTATGAAAAAAGCAAGCAAAGACAGCATACCATTGCACACACATACATACATGCACACTTTCTTTCCAGGTCGGCTTAAATCCTTAACAGGAAACAGCAGGAGGCCTTTAGCTCCCAGATAACAGCTGACTGTGTGAGTGTGTGTGTGCTCTATGTGTGGGTGTGTTTTCATTAGGACACAGAGCTGTTGGACCTGACCCTGGTAAAAGATGTCAGAACAGGCAGAAGCACGAAAACACCCAAGGTACTGTCATCTCTCTGCTTATATTCACCTCTACTTGACTCTGCACGTGTGAAATGTATGCTGTGTCCTTCCTGCATTGCAATTTTCAATCCTCCTACTGCATCTCTGTAGCCAGTGACCTCTCACCTAACAGTTGCTCCTCTTATGCAGCAGAATGTGATGTTTTATTCATGAAATTTTTAATATTTGACTTAACGTTTGCATTACTTTTTGTAGCTGACATTACGGCATTCGTGCTTTAATAATAAGTTGATGTTTTTTATTGCCTCTTTTTTCTTTCTGTACTACCATGAAGTACTTTAGATTTTATTTCTGTTACCTACTATCGTTTATGTTATATTTATTGCTTTGCTTCCTACTTCAATAGAAGACTTGTGCTTTGCTTTCATAAATAGCAAAGCATCTGATGTATTTTGTTCGAGGGCAGCCATAATATTTGCCTGACTGGGTTTCTTAATGATTTTAATCCTTGATTGTTACTGTGACTGCCTCATAAGTCTCTAATAATCTCCTCCCTCTGGTCCTCCTCTACCCCTGCTTTTACTTTGTCATCCTGAAAATGATGTGCCACCATGTGAGGAGGGAATTTAACGGAATAATCACAAGATTGAACATTAAACCGAAGCAACAAAAGGAAAACGCAAAAACATTTAACAAACCGAACCCCTGGAAAACCTTTTTTTAAAAATCAGTGATTTCACATCTTTCCTCAATAAGTACGCAAAAGGAGACATGGCTGGTGTGCCATCACCTCGTGGCATACACACACTGGGCAGATCACCTGCCATCAGGGCTAAGAGACAGACAACCATTCACAATTACTTTGAAGCCTACAAGCAATGTTGATTCAGTTAACCTAAAATGCATGTAGTGGGGTGCCAGAATACCCAGAGAGAACCCACACAGGCACACAGAAAAGCACCAGTCTGGTTGATGGATTTGAACCCAGGACCTCTTTGCCATCAGGCAACAAACGTCTTTAAGGAAATGTGAATGATGTGCTTTAAATCACTGGTGGACATGTAAACTCAACTTTCCTGAAATCTGCACATGCGGCAGCACTATTTAAGCATAACGTTTAACCCACCAGACCATGGTACTAACAGAATGCAAGACTATACTGATCTCCCAAACTGGCCTCTCATTTCTTACATTTTGCTTCCAAGGCACCAGACTTTTTAGTACTTTTTAAAATGGTCTTGAGCAATAATTCTCCAGCTATTGACTGGTGTACATAGTGTAACGTGTATCCGTAAAATATTTGAGGAAAGTGAACAAATGGAGGGCAAAAGAAAAAACGTCAGGTCAAAAAACTATTTACAACAGATAAACAGTGTCTGAAAGTATTGTCCTTAAGAAATTAAAATAAAAATGTAGAAGACTTGACACCTGACAGTTGATTGGTTCCCCAAAGTCTCATAGAAATAGTATTAATTGAAGGGTGGCTGTCAAGAAAAAACCAAAGAAAGGAACCAGGAGAAAAGTCTGAGATGTGCCAAATTACACAAACCAAATTTGAAATGTCTGTGAAGGTTCTCAGTCACCCAGGTCATGGTAGTCTAAGGAGCTTGGAAAGAAAAGTGTCTGGACTTCTTTAAGTTTCCTTGAAGACGTTTCACCTCTCATCAGAGAAGCTTCTTCAGTTCTAAGAGCAACTGGTGGAGAGTCCCAGATTTTAAGCCCTATGGGAGTTTCCCCAAGAGGATCATGGAACCAGTGGAGAATCCATCATGTCCTGGGACTGCATTTCAGTCACAAACCAGACAGTAGCATCTAAAAAGCATCTGGCAGCAGTGTTCACAAACACACTTTCAGTCTTAGACAGAAAAACATACAACGTAACACTATCAGTAAGATGGCATATAGTAGGAATGGCCTCTCCAGAGCCCGCACCTCAACATTATTGAAACACCGTGTATCATCTTGACTGGAACAAGAGGAATCTCCCTCAAGAAGCCCGGAGAACTATTCCTGAAGACTACTTGAAAGCTTGCCTAGGAGAATTCAGGCTGCGCTGAAGAATAGAGGTTGCTGTGTATACCCAGTGTTGGCTTTCAGCCTTGTTAGAATTGTACAGACTCTGATTTCCCCTTATATACTGTATTTCCATATACAGGGAGTGCAGAATTATTAGGCAAGTTGTATTTTTGAGGAATAATTTTATTATTGAACAACAACCATGTTCTCAATGAACCCAAAAAACTCATTAATATCAAAGCTGAATGTTTTTGGAAGTAGTTTTTAGTTTTAGCTATTTTAGGGGGATATCTGTGTGTGCAGGTGACTATTACTGTGCATAATTATTAGGCAACTTAACAAAAAACAAATATATACCCATTTCAATTATTTATTTTTACCAGTGAAACCAATATAACATCTCCACATTCACAAATATACATTTCTGACATTCAAAAACAAAACAAAAACAAATCAGCGACCAATATAGCCACCTTTCTTTGCAAGGACACTCAAAAGCCTGCCATCCATGGATTCTGTCAGTGTTTTGATCTGTTCACCATCAACATTGCGTGCAGCAGCAACCACAGCCTCCCAGACACTGTTCAGAGAGGTGTACTGTTTTCCCTCCTTGTAAATCTCACATTTGATGATGGACCACAGGTTCTCAATGGGGTTCAGATCAGGTGAACAAGGAGGCCATGTCATTAGTTTTTCTTCTTTTATACCCTTTCTTGCCAGCCACGCTGTGGAGTACTTGGACGCGTGTGATGGAGCATTGTCCTGCATGAAAATCATGTTTTTCTTGAAGGATGCAGACTTCTTCCTGTACCACTGCTTGAAGAAGGTGTCTTCCAGAAACTGGCAGTAGGACTGGGAGTTGAGCTTGACTCCATCCTCAACCCGAAAAGGCCCCACAAGCTCATCTTTGATGATACCAGCCCAAACCAGTACTCCACCTCCACCTTGCTGGCGTCTGAGTCGGACTGGAGCTCTCTGCCCTTTACCAATCCAGCCACGGGCCCATCCATCTGGCCCATCAAGACTCACTCTCATTTCATCAGTCCATAAAACCTTAGAAAAATCAGTCTTGAGATATTTCTTGGCCCAGTCTTGACGTTTCAGCTTGTGTGTCTTGTTCAGTGGTGGTCGTCTTTCAGCCTTTCTTACCTTGGCCATGTCTCTGAGTATTGCACACCTTGTGCTTTTGGGCACTCCAGTGATGTTGCAGCTCTGAAATATGGCCAAACTGGTGGCAAGTGGCATCTTGGCAGCTGCACGCTTGACTTTTCTCAGTTCATGGGCAGTTATTTTGCACCTTGGTTTTTCCACACGCTTCTTGCGACCCTGTTGACTATTTTGAATGAAACGCTTGATTGTTCGATGATCACGCTTCAGAAGCTTTGCAATTTTGAGACTGCTGCATCCCTCTGCAAGATATCTCACTATTTTTGACTTTTCTGAGCCTGTCAAGTCCTTCTTTTGACCCATTTTGCCAAAGGAAAGGACGTTGCCTAATAATTATGCACACCTGATATAGGGTGTTGATGTCATTAGACCACACCCCTTCTCATTACAGAGATGCACATCACCTAATATGCTTAATTGGTAGTAGGCTTTCGAGCCTATACAGCTTGGAGTAAGACAACATGCATGAAGAGGATGATGTGGACAAAATACTCATTTGCCTAATAATTCTGCACTCCCTGTATATTTGCACAAGTTTCAATGAGTCGCTGTGCCTATTTCCCATTTTACTAGAAAATAAAAAAATAAGTGGAAACTCAAGACTTGCATGAGCGATGATGAGACCCTCTTCAGTCAGAAAAACTGGAGAAACTGTGGAGCCCCTCTTGAGGAAGGTGACAAACATTAAATTATTTTTATTTCCTTACTTTCCACAAAAACATCTTTCTCTGTTTGATCGCCTGATTTACTATCAGGTTCAGCCTGCACTTTCTTTACACATATAACACACTGTATGTTGCAAACAACATGTCACACTGGGTAAAAATAGATGCAAATAAACTGCCTCAAATGGTCTCAGCCGTCCCCGCATCCCTCCAGGTCCCCTCACTTTCATCCGTCTCCTCTCTACAGTGCATGCCTCCCTCGTGGCTCTGATTCCACTGACAGCTTTCACTCTGTGTCATCCAATAGGAGGCTAAGCTGCGGGAGCTGCTCGATGTGGGAAACCTGGTTGGTAGGCTGGAGAACCGCATGGTTACCGTGGTTACGGCTTCAGATCTTGTAAACGTCAACCAGCTTAACTTCATCGCTTCGCAGGAGGACGAAGCCAAGGTGCTGAGCTCATTAAAGCGACCGTGACCATGACTAATTGCGATGATAATGATGATGCAGTGTGTGACTGTTTTTGTGTTTCGTTTTTTTGTAGGTGTGGTGTGAGGAACTGTTTTCTCTGTCTTCCAACCTGCTGAGCCACAGTCTCAACAGAGACCAGAGTCTGCTGAAAGCGTGAGTACGCACACATTCATCACTGCACGCACTTGTTTGTTTTATTAAACAGTATATGGCTTAAAGGGAAGCACAGATGTGGATTTGTGGAGTTTGGAGGTTAATAAAAAAAATACTGAGTCTTTTGTGATAAACTTAATCATCCCTGCTGCTTCCTGACACCTTTTTGAAACCTATTTTCTGCACATCTTTTAATCTTAATGGTTTTATAAAATGCTTCATTCACACACACCATTGACCCATTTGCCCGACCACTTTTGCTACTTCACCCTTTGAAACTGACACCCTCTAATTTTTCTGCTTCAGGTACATCAAGTTAACTCTTCAGCCGAATGCAGAGGGGAGAATTCCTGTCAAGAAGTGAGTTCCCGACGATTATTAGATCCCCAAGCCTCACTCAGTGGTTTTACCCAAGCATTTGCTTTGAGGCACATGTTACAGTATATGGTTGGGAACGTGAGGAATTAGCCTGAAGAAATCTTCAGAGACACGCACAAACTTTAACTTTGCTCTTTCCTGTCCCTTGCTTCCAAAAATAAACTTAATTCCATGTGCACTTGGGGAAGCAAAAACAGGGACAGGATTCATGAAGGTGCTTAATTCAGCACTGACCTGGTAATCAACCACTGCCAGAGCATGAGATGGATAATACAGTTATGACAGGAAGCTGTATTTTAGAAGCAAACTGAGAGCCGAATTAAGGTCAGCTGATATCTAAGAAGCCGAGGGAGTAGAGTTTTAAGAAAGCCCGCACGGTTTGACAGTTTGCACAGTCGAAGCTTTGGGCTCGAGTGAAGAGGGTGAGATTTGCCAAAGTGAAATTGCGTACACGGGGAATAGTTGCATTTCAAGAACCGTTATGGAGGATTAGCACCGTAAATGTCGGCCCATTAGTTGGAGAGAAGAATATGTAGAGGTTCTTACGGAAAGTAAAAAAATGAGTTTTGGGTTGGTGGAATGATCATAATATTGTTGCACCACTGTCTGTTTCAGTATTGTTCGGCTGTTTTCATCGGACAGAAAAAGAGTCGAGAATGCCCTGGAGAGCTGCAAACTGCCCTATGGACGGGTAAATACTTCAGTTAGTTTGGATTATTATAGGTGGCAGGGAATGAAAGACACACATGAAAAGCTGTTCTCTTTTCATGGATAACTACATATTAGACTCACAAAGTATTTTGTTTTTTTCTCTCTTTTTCTCTTTATTCTTTCTTCTCAGTTTTCTGTTTTCTGTTGAAGCTTTTGTCTGTTGGTTTTGTCCAGAATGACTCATAGTGCATGGATGGGTGAAATAAGCTCAGATATCTGGGTCATCAAGTTTTCAAGCAGCCACTTCCAATTCAAAACAAAGTCGTGTTGATTTTACATGAATCACACATTGAATATTCCTGTGAGCACAGAAAGATTGTTTTTGAAGAAGACATGTTGGAGGAAAAGTTGCATTTTAAAAAGGGTTTTGAACTATATTTTGCAGTTGGCATTATCAATAATTAATGCCCATGTTCTTTGTATTTGACAGGGTGACAGCATCAAACTGGAAGACTTAACACTTGAAGTTTACCGGAACTTCTTGGATAGCCTGTGCCCTCGTCCTGAGCTTGGGAACATCTTCAAACTGCAGTAAGTAAACAGAAAATAACTTGAGCTGGAGCTCTTGCTGCAGCTGCTGACCTCTACTCTGCTAAAAGATGTATTAAAGATGAAGAAGCTACTCTACAAAATGAAAAGTTGTTATTTGCTTCAGGCCAATTTTTTTGATATCAGAAAAATCGTGATTCATCGCCTGTCCCACTTGTACAGACAGACAGGGATTGAACAAACTGGTTGATCTTTAGCTTTGCAGCAGTAATCATATTCTTAAAACTAATCTATCCCCTCTTCCAACGATGTTATGCAACTGGACCAGTTTGTTAGAAGTAATTAGCTTTCTGAAGCCGATCTAAATCCTGATCCTGGAGTTTTTTTAATGTAATTGTGTCCCTAGAACCAGAAAGGTGTCTAAATCTAAATCTATTTGTATTAATTACTTGAACAACAAGACAATACGTCACAATTTCTTTTTATTTCAAGTTGATATGCAGTTGGAAATATATGATGATTAAGACCTCATTAAGACCAGTCAACAACCCCCTGGCGACCACTGATCACTAGGAAAATAAATGTCTATTCTGCAAAATAGACATTCTACCTTTTTCTCTCTGAGCTGCAGTGAAACTGCAAACATCTATGCAAACTACTTGTAGCCTAGTAATGACCACAGCAATCACAAGGAGCTTTTCAGTGCTTCATCATATACCTCTTTACTACCAGTTTGTTATGCAAGAGACTGTCAGGAACCTCCAGCAACCACTCGCTTACTAGTCACAGAATACACACTTTTCCCACATGACTGGTGGTTGCTAGATAAGTGCCAACAGGTCTCTAGGTCTGTGTGACTGAGACCTGAACCACTGTGAGATGGGCCCAATCTGAAATTTCGCATCGTATCTTCACACTTAGAATGACAACTTGATATTTTTAAAAAAAATGAAGCGTATCATCTAGTTGTTCTCAAATATTATCACAGGGCATTTCTGCATCGAAGAAACTGGAATCAATAAAGGATGATAATAATAAAATAATTTAAATGTTTAGCTATGATTTTTGTAGTACTTGTACTACACTTGTACTTGTAGTAGTAATTCTCTGTATCTGGGTTTTTTTTTCTAGCATTGGAAAGCAGTAGATAAATCTGTACAATGTGAAAACTGGCAGATTTATGCAGCATACCACTTGTACATTTGTTCTAGTGGTTTCTCATCACACATAAAAACATGTTGACGTATTCCAGTTTCTACAAATGTTCTAAACCCTTGCAAATTGATTTAACTTAATTGATTTAATCAATTGATAAAACCAATACAATAGCACTCTTCCCATTTTAAAAACTGTTTTTCAAGAGTATGAGGTTAAGCAGCACTCCAGCAGTGGTTCCACAAAAATACACAAACAGCATACAAATTTCTGAGAAGGTTTATCCTCTAATGCTCTGACTTTCAACCTGACTCTTCTCTGCTCTGCAGAGGAGCCAATGATAGGATGCTGTCAGTCGATCAGATGACAGAGTTCATCAACAATAAGCAGAGAGACCCAAGGCTCAATGAAATCCTCTACCCACCTCTTCGTCCTGCACAGACGCACACTGCGATGGAGAGGTATCAACATGACCAGACACAACTGAAGCAAGGTACACACTTAGACAAGCAGATTTTGCTGGAGGTTTTATGTGTTTGCTTGTTGTTGTTGTTTTTTTTACTTTAACCTCCTAGGACCTGGCGTCCACATATGTGGACATCACATTTTGGGTTATTTAGACCAAAATACTCAATTTTGCTCTACAAGAGCCTGATATCCACTTACGAATATCCTCATATGTGGCTCTTATTTTTCATAAAAGCAAAAATAAGGTAAAAAAAAAAAAATCTGGTAATTCTTTCTTTTTACATTCATCGGGCCCCAATATGCTCAAATATCAAAGAGAAATTAAAAATGCATGCTGTGGAAGAGTTCGGGTCTTAGGAGGTTAAAAATAAAAACCCACACAAGTTGATCCAAAAATACCTTTCTAACCCACCTATATACTTACTCTGTAATTTGTGTAGATCCTACTAGAAGAAATTTAGGTGTCTACTTTGCATCAAACATAAACTACAGATTTTTTTTCACCCATGAGATAACAGTGCTGCTATCTAAGAAATAAAATGATTATGTTCATATTATATTATATTTCCTTATCAGAAATTAAAAATTCCTTATAGAGGAAGGTTGAGAAATTAAAAAGGAAAAACCTGAAGCTTTATTCTAGGATGGTGACAAGTCACTAAAGGGTTTAATGAGTATGACAATGATGCTATGACGCTAACATTTAGCACACATACACACACACACACACACACATTCTTACAGAAGTTCACACATATACATACAATGCCTTGTCTTAGAACCATGTGGGCGTGGCTTTGTTCTGATGTTTTTTGCGTGAACTGTCTCTCAATAAAAAGGCAGCAAGGGAGGTCAGATGTGAGGTCATTTTCGTGGTGGACACAGGCCTCCCTTGCGCAAGTGAATGATCGATCGACTGTCTTGTTTTCTTCATGATGAATAAGTCTCTAGAATTAGCGGGGCTTGTGGAAACACAGACCCAACAATCACCAAATGACAGGATGTTTTATAGAAAAATGGCATTCATTCCCAAGGTCCCAAAGGTGCTCTACTGGTCTGAAATCTGGTGACCGTGGAGGCCACTTGATTACAGTAAACTCATTGTCTTGTTGGCGAAACCAGTTTGAGATGATTAGAGCTTTGTGAGCTATCAGAAGATGGACACATTGTGGTCATAAAGGGATGGACATGTTCAGCAACAAAACTCATCTGGCATTTAAATGTTGATAACTTAGTAGTAACGGGATTAAAGTGTGCCAAGAAAATATCCCACACGCAATTACACCACCGACAGCAGCTGTTGATACAAAGCAAGATGATTCCATCTTTTAATGTTTTTTTTTTCCAAACCCAATCATCGGATATTACAGTAGAAATTGAGACTTCCCAGACCTGGCAAAGTTTTTCCAATATTCTGTTGTCCACTTTTGGTGAGCCTGTATGAACTGTAGCATCCTTTCCTGTTTTTTAGATGTGGTGTGGTTTTCTGTTGCAGTAGCCAATGTGCTTCAAGGTTCAACATGTTGTGCATTCAGAGATGTACCATAGTTGTATCGAGCTGTTATTTGAGTTCTGCTGTTTTCCTTTCAGCTCAAAGCAGTCTGGTCATTCTCCTTTGACCTCTGGCATGTACAAAGCATTTTTTTTCATAGAGGGCTGACGCTCACTGGCTATTTTCTCCTTTTCTGTCTGTAAATACTAGAGATGGTTGTGTGGGAAAAAAGAGTAGCAGCTTCTGAAATACCAGCCTGTGTGCCACCAAACTCTACGGCACTTTCAAATTCACTTTTCCAACTTCATTAGATTGTCTTGATCACGCCTAAATGAAGTAAGAGTCAAAGTGACCAGTTTTTATTGTCCTGAACTGATTTTTGTTGGAATAGGGTTCTCACTTTTTGTCTTTTGTGTTTGTGTGAACAATATTTTTAGGCAAGATCTCCCTCCAGGCATTCTCCAGTTATCTGTCTAGTGATGAGAATGGAGTCATTCCACCAGAAAAGCTGGATCAGTCTGAAGACATGAGCTTCCCGATATCTCACTATTTCATCAACTCATCGCATAATACCTACCTGACAGGTACGCATGCACAAGTCCTAAAAGCTCAGCAATAAATCCATTACTTTCCATCACCGGTCTGATCCAAATACATTCTCTTTGATAGGCATTGGCAACTTCTTGGGAGAGAACAAATGAGTTGATTTAAACGTGTGAGCGTGAAGAAAATAAAATATTTGTCTGTTCAATTAACAACTGATGCAAACAGGAGAAAAGGTGAATTACCAAACTTTTTTATTAGTTGCGACTCAAATACGTCCAAAGTCTTCTTCAAGTTGACAGTTTAATTCTGCCAACAAAGCAGTGTATCGGGGGAACACACAGCTCTACTAAGAGAGCCATTATAGTTTTTCAGAGTGACACTGAGCTAAACAACATCTCAGAAAAATACCTCTGCTAAACAAAAAGTATGCATTTGCAGCAACAAAAGCACTTTAATGGCATGTAAATGAGCCAAATGCAGATCTCATCCAGATTTTTCCAAATAGGCTGAGCATTAATGAAGACATAAAGGATATGGGACACAAAGCGACTTAACACGCACATAACATTTTTCAGTTTCATCAAAATTATGCACAGACCTGAGGCCTGTTGCACCTGAGTCTAAAATGAGATGGCCTAAAAAGAGAGCTTGGAATCGTGGCCTGGTGGGATTCAAGTGTCTCCTGCTTCTTCTGCTTCTATAAGCATGCAAACTCCCTGCTTGTCCAACAGTTAGAAAAAATATTTGACGGAACTGGTTATCTATTACACAAGGAGACAAGGTGTGACACTAATAATCCATGCATTATTTCACATCTTGGCTTATGTGACTATTCATACGATAAATGGACGAACAACCTTCAGGATCACATCCTAAGGGGCAATCCTGCTATGTTTTAAATACCTGGGACTCTTCATGAGTTGTTTTAGAACCAAAGAAGACTCTTGGATGAGAGATGAAACATTCTAACAAAGCAAAAATAAGTAATTTCCTTCTTTTCAAGTCCTCAAGTCTACCATGACCTCAGTGACTGAGAGCCTACACAGACTTACTTCCAGGAAGTAGCTTTGTATTTAAATCTATAGCCTTGTTTTGCATCATTTGTTCTTGTCCTTGTGTTTCAGCGGGCCAGCTGGCCGGGAGCTCCTCAGTAGAAATGTACAGGCAAGTTCTGTTGGCCGGGTGCCGCTGTGTGGAATTGGATGTGTGGAAAGGACGGACTGCTGAGGAGGAACCTGTCATCACTCATGGATTCACCATGACTTCAGAAATCTCCTTTAAGGTGTGTCTAAGTGGGAATTAAATCATGCAAGTTAAGAGTGCACATTTAGGAAGCCATTTAAGCAAATGTTTGGTACAATTTTGTGTTTTCTCTCCAGAAGGTTCGTCTTAATCCTCTTGGTTGTTTGGTCTATATGCTCTTCTTTTCTCTCTTTGCTTCCCAGTCACCCAAAGCGGTCATAGCAGATGGCTGCCCCTCCCTCAAGCAGTTTCTGCTGGACATCTTCCTGTTTAAAGGATTTTTTTTTTCTCCACACTCTCGCCAAGCATTTGCTCATAGGGCAGTTATTGGGTTTTTTTGTGTATAATGTTGTAGCGTGTACAATAATTGTCTTGGTGCTGTTGAAATATAAATATAAATAGATTTGGATTAAACCTTCTGAATTTGATTGCTCACATTGTTTTTGTGGCTGAATGGAAATGCCAAGCCATCTGCAATGATTCTGGACTGTTTAAGAGCTAATTGCAACCTCTTAGTCATCTGGCTTAGATCTTCTGCTTGTTAAAGAGGCCAACTTGTGTTTGTTTTGAATGGTCCTGATTGCTAGAATACATAAAATGTGTCAACCATTAACTTTTAAAAGCAGGCTAAAAACATTCATTTTCTCTGAGGGATTGTTGTACTTTTGGTGTGCATGATTATCATGGCCCTAAGAATTCACAATAACTATAGCATTGCAGACACCCCATATTTTATTCACAATACTACATAGAAAACATGTCAAATGAAACTGACGAAATGTAATATTGTAAGAAGAGGCAGAATCATGTCTCAATAAAGTGGTAATCTGCACGTCCAGACCATTGCTGGACTTTTGTCTCACATAGGATTCTAGATGTTCAACAGTCCTGACTCTGTAATTTTTGTTTCATGATGTGCCAAACGATTTCAGCCATTCAAGGTTTGGACTGTGGGATGGCCAGTTTAACAGGGCTCTTCTACTACGAAGCCATGCTGTTGTAATAGATGCATTACACTATCTTACTTAAATATGTAAGGTCTTCCCCAAAAAACCTGCCTTGAGTTTCTGAATATCTGCAAGCCACTTTGCAATGTGTTTTTGTCTTTCATTTTCTAGGAGGTGATTGAAGCTATTGCAGAATGCGCCTTCAAGACCTCACCCTTCCCTGTGATCCTGTCTTTTGAAAACCACGTGGACTCGTGAGAATCTCATTATTTATGTTTTTTAATATCCTGATTGAATCATAAGATCTTTTTGTTTATATCTGTAATTTTCCATTTACCCATCTATCAGGTTGAAGCAGCAGGCTAAAATGGCTGAATACTGTCGATCCATTTTTGGAGAAGCTCTTCTGATTGACCCTCTGGACAAATACCCTGTAAGAAATACTGACACGTGAAAGTGTTCAAAGTGTCTATTTTGTGATCAGACTGCAGTTTAAATTAATTTCTCTCTTTTCTGTCTTTTTTTTCTCTTCTATTGTGTGTATTTGCAGCTGGAGCCAGGTGTCCCTCTGCCCAGTCCTCAGGAGCTGATGGGCAAAATTCTCATCAAGAACAAGAAATCCCACAAACCTTCCAATAACACAGACACAAAAAGACTGACGGACCAACCTGCCAATCAGAGCAATGAACCAGTGTCTCCTAGCAACAACACAGGAGGTAAGACACAAAGACAAAAGGACTTTTTTTCAGCCCAGAAATCCAAGTGAAATGTATTCAACTGCGACAGCCTTTGTATAAAAAAATACAACAGACAGTAAATTCTTCTGTGGTTTCAACAGCTGCACGGGGCTGGAGAAATGTTAAAAACCCAGGCGTATTCCGGCTGTAACTTAAGGGCATCAGATGTCCAAAAAACGCTTTCACTGTGTGTCTTTCAAAGTGTTTTCACATTCAGCAGGCGTATGTCCTCACAAACATGAGTCATCGGGTAATCAGCATCATTGGGAAAAGGCGCAGTGGCTGGAGCTTCAGCACTGTCCCTGAGAAATTTGTTTTAAAGACCCAGGAAAAATAATGTGATTACTGCCCCAAATCATTTTGTAGTGTTTAGTTTTCTGAAAGATCACTATCAGAGGACAGCACATTTCTTTAAACCACAATTTCCATCATGACTTTTTGTAAAATCCTTTGGCCCAAAGTATTATCTACTCCACCTCATCAGGGATGCTTAATGAGCAGGACATCCCAGATGAGGTCTGAAGCTCTTTTCAGCAATTAAATAGCAGAGCAGAGGGAAATAAGGGAGCCTTATTGACATGTTTGACATGCAGATTCTGAAAACAGGACAGTAATTGAGAGCACAACCGTGAATGAAGATCAGACCAGCATCTTTACTGAAGTCCATGCTCATACAGTGGCCGTGACCCTTTAGACAACGACTGCCTGAGTGGGCTGAATAATCAGCACCAGAGAAGTTAAAGCACAGGGCTGTTTAAACTCCTTCCACTATCTGCTTGGTTTATATTCTGCTCTATGGTGCACAAATTTGCCATTGTCATGTGTTTCTCAGATGCTGTGCATGATTATCTATTATTAGTTTATTTGTGCACAGATTTTATTGTACAGCTCAGGAGAAAATCTGTTGTCCTTGCTCTCAGGCATATGCTAAATTGTTACCAAACAGTCATGTTAATGGATAATTCCTGGATGATTATATCAATCACACCTGATTAGCAGTTCACAGGCTAAGTTTCCTCCAGTGAATACTTTTTATCAGTCTCTAGCTCTTTTCACCAGCTTTAGGACACATCTCATTAAACTGAAGTATTTATGTGAGGGTATTTTATTTGCATTCTGCTTTTCAAGCAGAATGCAAATCCTGTTCTTGTGTCAGCTGAATAACTGTGTTATTCTGGCCGTTTATATCTGAAAAAAAAAAAAGACAAAGAGATGAAGAGATGATGAAGACTTGTTTAATTTTAACAGAGATGGAAGCTGAGAGTGAGGAAGATGATGATGATGAAGATGATGATGGTAAAAAGGTCAGTGGTGACATCGAACAGAGCTGACAGAGGGTCACCCTCACTGCTGTCGCAATTCGTTAATGTTTACAAGTGCTGTTTATTTTCATGGTTTTGCTGTTTATTCTTTAAGCCATTGTCATTGTTAATCTTGTTCTGAACCCTGAATATTGTTGTTGTTGTGGGTTGTTGTGAACACTTGCTTTTTTTTTTCTTTTCTTTTTTTTTTGCTGTTGCTTGTGCTTTATTTTTGCTGTTGTCTCTCCAGTGGTTCTTGTGGTTTATTCCGTATCTGTACCATTCGTGCATTTTCCTCTGTTTTCACAGTTTTTGTTAATAAGGTGACTGCACTTATGTAGCATTACTTTACTATCATTTTATCTGACTGGGGGTTATACAGTGTGTCTGATACCAGGATGTTGGTTTTGCTAGAGCATCATATAATGTTGTTCCCACAAAATCACTGCAGTTGACCAGCCATTGTATTGTGATATCATAGTGCAACTGAAGTTGCTTCAGCCTGCCGACAATTTCTGCATATCTGCAAGCCCCTTTGCAACCCACTTTCATCCCAGACAGATTCATATCTGTTGCTGTTAATGCCCACTCTGTGATGAGTTCTTAGTGCTGCTCTCTCAGCCTTTATTCTTTCTGTGTATCTGCATTAAATTATAACAAAGTACAGCACAGAGGAAATAGATTTAGGAAAACATCCTGCTTTCCAGTAAAATAAACCATTTAACGGCATTAAATATGTATTTAAAAGCCTTTTTAATTGTGCTTTCTTCCAAGCTTTGGCATCACAAAAAAGTTTTGTTGCAGTAATTATTAATTTTTATAGAAGATGAGATCGTGCTGTGCACACACAGCACCTCACTGCAAAAGAAAATACAAAATCACCTGTTTGATATTGTTTTAGTACGCCTAATGTACCCTTTAGTACCATTAATGAGGAGCTTTGACACCTCTATATATGTTATAGATTATAACATATATCTAAATATATGCATCTAAATATACTTTGTTCTACCTCTATCTTTGCTACTGGGGAATTTATTGCACTGCATGTATCAAAAGCTAATGTAGCCTTGAGCAAAGGTGATCAGCTGGCTTCAAAGGTCTGGTAAGCTCCCTTCTTTCTAACTTTTAAACTCGCTGTCTTGAGTGAAATCACCTAAGGCCATTTATCAGATTTTATGCAACTCTGTTTAGAGCCACCAGAGGTTTTATATAACGTATGTGTTTTTCACTTTGTTTTAAAGCACTCCCCAGGAGCTGTAAACAGTCTTTGATATGCGTTTGATGTCAGAGTTCCCCTTTGAGTTTCAGATGATGCTGACTGTAAATGAATAAAAGTAGAAGAGACATAATGTGGCAAGAGATATCAAACAGACCAGACAAGTATGTTAGGTGTTGAGACAGAAAGACAGAATTCATTACACAGACGAAAGTGAAAGGTTGAAACAAATAAAAAAGCACAACAAAAAGTAGCAGGATAATAAACAAAAAATGAAATGAAAAGCAGGTCGGACATAGAGTGTGTGCACAAGTGTTTGTGTATTTGTGTTTAAAAAGTCGATGGATTTCATTTTGCTGTATATTTTTATTGTTGTGTTGGTATTAGTGTTTGCTGTCAGATTCTGTTGCTGCTGCCATTCTTTTTGTTACTAAGTGCTGTGCAGAGAAATGCAGGACTGCAAACAATGAAAATGTCTGCTTCAAATGACAGCTGCTGTTCCCTCCAGATGTTATGGAAAAAGATGTGTCTCATCTCATTGAAACTATGCTTTGGATGTGTGACGCTTATACTTTATTCCTTCTGTCGTTTATTGCAGGGCTCAGCTGAGCGGGAAGCAGTGGCAACAGAGGAAATGTCAACTCTGGTTAACTACGTCCAGCCTACCAAGTTCAACTCCTTCGAAGCCTCCAAGAGTAAGAAAAGCTCACTATAGATATGTTATTTTGTAGTGATATCCACTATAACTCAATATAAATGATATAATGCATAAGTTTGGCCTTCACTGTGTTCACGAAATAGGGTGTGAAATTAACTAAGAGAGATTTTTTTTTTATTAAAATTGTTATCTAAAGTAAAGTCAGGTGACAAATGAAAGGATAACTCAACACAAAGTGACTTAATCAGTTTTAATAGATGATGATGTGTGAAGAGGGGATCAGGTCAATGTTTTACACACAGCAGGAGCTATTCAGGGCCAAATGTGTTTTGACTGCTGGAATTCAACCTAAGTAGAGCTTTCAATAGGCAGGTCACATGATCCCAGCCCATAGTTACCTGCACTATGCTCATGTTGTGAGTTTGGCATAGGGAGCTAGTAAATTGAAAACCCCTAAATATCTGATCCAACTGGGTTGTAGATCTGTGTTTTTACGTTCAAAAGACATGTCTAGAAAATTTCAGGGTTGGGATGAATCTTTCAAGTCTCTGAAACTCTACTGGAAGAATGGAACAACATAATTCCCAGAAGATAGATCTTCATTTGGTGTTTAGGCGATGGTGGTGGAGAGAGTTGTGTAAATCAGGATTCACTGTCCCATGTTGTTGATTATGCGTGTGGGTCTGTGGCTGTGCAGAGAGAGTGATTGTGGGAATTCTTCCTTCTCTTCTCTTTGTCTGTCTCCTCTTTTCATTCTTTCTATTTTATCTATTCTCTTTTCTCGCCTCCCTGAGCTGGGTTCTGCCACAGGTTTCTTCCTGTTAAAAAGGACTTTTCCCCCCCCACTGTTGCCAGGTGCTTGCTCACAGGGGACTATCTAATTGTAGGCTTTTCTTGTAGATACTGATGTTTTTCTTTACAATATAAAATGTAACTGCTGTGTGAATAAAACTGAGCTACCAGTGCGTAGCTTGATGCCAGTAATAAAACACATGGATGAATCTGTTGAAAACAGTCCCTCAAAGGGAGAAAAACATTGCCATAATATAATATAAAAACTTTTTAAAAAATCAAACAAGACTTCTTTCTCTCAGTGAACTATAGCCAGCCAGTCATAAGCAAAAGTAGGCAATTTTTATGGTTGTACCACATATTTTGACACTGCCCTGTGGTTGCTACAGACCTGCAGCTCATATCTGCAAAGCTCTGCAATCGCATCTGTACACAGTCATGTTGAACACTTAACACCTCAGTCCTCCCATAATTTATCAGTTTGGTTAAGATCTGGTGACTGTGAAGATCATAGCACAGGATTTACATCATATTAATTCTCATCAAACCATTCAGTGAACACTTTGTCCTCTTGGAAGAGGCACCTTTAATTGTAGGATAAAGGTAATTACTCAGACACTTACACTGACATGTCCCTCTAAAAGAGCAAAAACATGTCAGTAAAGTGGCCCCCACAAAATAACTGAGCCACCAGATCCCCACATAGAGACCAATGGGTTCATCCAATTCCTTCAATTTGTTAACTTTCTGTAGATGCAGAAAGTTTGAAACCAAACTAATTGCTCAGAAATGCGTGTGTTCTCGTTTTTGTGTGTGTTTGTGTAGAGGCAGCCCGCTGTTACCACATGTCGTCTTTTGTGGAGACCAAAGCGTTGGAGCATCTCACAAAGTCACCAGTGGAGTTTGTAGAGTATCCTTGGCAACAGTTACCACAGTTACATCACACCAAGGCACCATCACTTTATTTTTCATTTTCTCACTTTTGCTTGCTTTTTTTCTGTTAACCTTCAGAAATCTTTGTAACTCAGTAAGTTCTGATTAAGTTTTCACTTCATCAGCTTCTATACCAGCAGTTTCAGTACAATACATTTTCCATGAATCTATATGTTAGCACTACTAATGAAATAATGGTCCTTAACCTTCTGTTAACCAGATATAATAAATCTCAGCTGAGTCGTATCTACCCAAAAGGAACCAGAGTGGATTCATCAAATTTTATGCCTCAACTCTTCTGGAACGCAGGATGTCAACTGGTGGCTCTAAACTACCAAACTATTGGTAAACTATTTTTTCTTTTTCTTTTTTTTTTGTAAAAGGTGCCTTCAAGGACCTTTAATAAAAGTCCTCCCACAAGCAAGTATCCTATCATGGAAAGCCCATTGGCCAATTCCAGGTTAAAAGACTAATCTGAATTAATGGAGCCACGAACATAACAGTTCATCTCTGACTCATCCCTACAGAGATCTTGAACAATTGCTGTGCTAATCCACATTAAACCAAGAAAAACATTTGACACAGTTGAAACTGTTCTGGACCTCTACTGGAAGATTGCGACTTTTATGTGCCACCGTTGACTGTCATGAAGAAATATCCTTATTGACATTTTAAAGGGAATGCCATTTTTGGAATTGCAGAATTCTCCCATTTAGGTTTCTTTTGAGTGCCATGTCTCTGCCTTATAATGCTTTTGCCTCAGTAAAAGAAAGCATTCAAGATTTCCCCCCCTTTTAAGTGCATTTTAAATTAAGGGAGATAGTCTTTCCAAGGCTATCTAGGCTTTGCATGTACTCATTTGTTAACCACTTACCCTTGTTTAGAGTCAGATCAGCTAAAAATGTACTTCAGAAGCCACTGATTCCCCAAAATAACACATTCCACTTTGCTGCTCTTTTGTGCAACAACCAGAGTGCAGCTGTACAGCTCAAACTCAAACTGGTGCTTTAAGCCTTTGTGATGCTAAACTTCAATTTTCTGTTGCAGATTTGTCCATGCAGCTGAATCTCTTTATGTTCGAGTACAACGGTCGGAGCGGCTACAGGTTGAAGCCTGAGTTCATGAGGCGCCCAGACAAACACTTTGACCCTTTTACGGAAAACACAGTAGATGGCATTGTAGCTAACACCCTCTCTGTGAAGGTATATTCACAGTGCTTTTTTTTTTTAAACAGTCTCTATTGGTATAACTCTTGTAGTATCTTCCTGTATGTGTTTAAACAAATGCAAGTGAATCCTCTGTGTTTCAGGTCATTTCAGGCCAGTTCCTGACTGAGCGGAGAGTGGGGGTGTATGTGGAGGTGGAGATGTTCGGACTCCCTGCAGACACTCGGCGGAAAGCTCTGAAGACCAAAACGTCTCAGAACAACAATGCCATCAATCCAGTGTGGGACGAAGAGCCGATTGTGTTCAAAAAGGTGCATTACAGGGAGTCAGATGTCTTACCTGTGCATACTAATTAGCCTATTAACAGTGTGACTGTGACAAATCTTTTCACAGGTGATTCTTCCTACCCTGGCCTCACTAAGAATTGCTGCCTTTGAAGAAGGAGGGAAGTTTATTGGTCATCGAATTATTCCGGTGTCTGCCATTAGGCCAGGTATTCATTCATTTCAACCTTTGATTCTCACCCTGGTGTTAAATGTTAAAGTATTTATCTATCAGATACTGACCTTTTTGTATCTTTAGTGCTGACTGCTATTACTAACTACACCTCTCAGAGATTTCTTTGAGTGTGCTTGAGTTTCTATGGGTTCACTAGTTTGTATTGCAGTTTTTCTTCTCCATGTTTCTTATGGAGTTTATTGTGTTTTCCTTGTACAAAGACAGCAATATGTCATAAAGCTTAGCAGACAATAACTGTCCAAACTCCCAGGAAACGAACTGATGATAAAATAATAAAATAAAAAGTCACAGAGAATAAAAATCAGCATTTTTTAAAAGGGGCAAAGGTTTAACGCAACCAACAACAAAAAATCAAAAAAAAAAAATTCCTTGGCCTTTCAAGCCTGGGGAAAACGGAAAAAACGTGAAAATTGGGGCAATGAACAAAATTTGGGGCCCCTAAATTTTCCACCTAACCTGACCCCCCGGAAAAAACCCGAACTTTAAGGTCAAAACTTAAGTTGTGTGATCAGGTTGCAGAGGCACAAACAATGTGAACTAAATAAGTTTTTTTCTGTGTAGTTTGACTTCACTCATGCTTGGTCTGAAAACACTTAGCATTTCTTACTGCCAACTAACTTTATTGCCGGGGTTTTGTGCATTGCATTAAATATTTATCTGTCTACATGAACCAGATGACTGTTGCATCTGTTACTCTGCAGGTTATCGTTACATCGGCTTGAGGAATGAGAAAAACCAGTCTCTGATTCTGCCAGCTGTGTTCGTCTACATTGAAGTCAAAGACTATGTCCCAGATACATTTGCTGGTACAAACTTCTGGACTGTTTAATGGCATCACAGAACCAAATAGCTACACTAACTGATTTATTTCATGTTTTTTGTTTTCATAACAAAACCAAGCATCACATAAAAGAACATGGGGGAAAGGGCAGTGTCTTTATTTATGCAAGGTGGCTTACAGCGAAAGGTATCCACTGTTGTGACAGTTTTTCAACACATGTAGGATCCCAAGCTCTGTAGTGCCACCTACAGGACATATTGTGACCAATCATGGCCGAAGTGGGCTCCTGTTTTTGTGTCTATTTGGCTCATCCATTAGCAGAAACCCACTCCTTGCAGTAAATCTCTTGAACATATTCATTGGCTCAATAGAATAAAGGTTTTATCATTTTAATGTCTCACCCACATGATTGAGCACAAGTGTCTTAAACGGCTAAAATATTTTATTTGATCATCAGCTGAAGAGCTTTCAGAACATTGTTTATGCATTTAAAGTCCAGAGTGCAGTGGGGCGCCTTTGTTTGTTTGTTTGTTTGTTTAATGAATGACCAAAACTGACAAAATCACAAATCACATCACATAAATACAAATCACATAAATAAACATTAGTACTGCTATTCTTCTGATACAGTAAAGAAAGAAAGGACCCCATTACATATGCTCTTCATCCACTTACTCATAATTTGCATAATTCAGCAAATGGAAAGAAATACAGTAACAAAAAATCAACATAAATCCATGTAAATTGCTAAAATTATTAAATAAAAATGGTGAAAAAAATGAAAATTACATAAGGATGTAAATAAATAGGGGAATTAATACAAAGTTAAATATTTTTATAAATTTATTCATGTTTGCGTGTATTTTTTTATCATAAACAATTTTTATTTATTTCATTTAAACTTCAATAACAGAACTTAAAGATAAATACATAAATAAATAATTTAAAAAACAAAACAAAACAAATAAAAAAATAACCCCAAAAAACACACCAATCCCCACACCACCACTCTGTCATTACTCCTCTGTTCTTCAAGTTACAGAAAGCCATCTTGTAAAGGGGGACCAAATACAATCATATTGATGCAATTTGTCTAATAAACCATAAGTCACTTTTTCGTAAGACGCCAACTTAGTCATTGCCATTTTTCCACTCTTCATAGGGAGGGGGGTTCTTTTTCCGCCAATGTCTTAGCAGGACCCATTTGGCCGTAGTAAGAGCCAGAATAATCCATCTTTTTGTATAACTGGAAAAATCTCCATCAGAAAGTTCTGTGGTTATACCAAGTATGGACAGTTTTGGTGAGATACCAAATCTCCTTTTTAAAACACTGAAAATTACCTCCATTATATTTTCCCACCAATCCCGAAGTGCCGAACAGCTCCATAAGATATGTAAAATCGAAGCATTTTGACCATCACATCTCCAACATTCGTCCGTAGAGGCCAGGTTCCATTTATACAATTGTTGCGGTGTTCGATGCCACCTATGGATTATCTTAAGTTGAATAAATCTACTGCCTGTTTCTTTATACATAGTATTAACACTTTGAAAACATGAATCCCATTCAACTGAAGATATGTCCAATGCCATGTCCTGGGCCCAGTAGCCCTTAACTTTAAGGAGAGGGTCAGCTGACCGTTCTTGCAATAAGTGATAAATCTTAGAGGTAATGCCTTTACCCAAGGGTGATCTTGAGAGCAGGACTTCCACAGGGCTGCCCACAGGACAACTCAAGGGGGTTCCCAGCCACTTCGATAATGAACTATGTATTTGGACATATCTCCAGAATTGATTACGCTTCAACTTATATAACTCCACAATTTTATCAAAGCTTAAAAAACATTTAGTCCCACAGTCAAATAAATCTGATACATTAAGGATGCCTGCTTTACGCCACTGTAACCAGTCAACCGATGTCCCTCCAATTAAAATTAAAATGTTTGCTTGTATTTTTAATATTTCTGGTGCATTCAGTGGAAAATGTATTTATTTATTTTGGTCTTGATTTTGGTTTTAGCATTTCAATTTTTATCTTCATATGTGTACACAAAAACTATGACTTCTTCCTGTTTTAAATAACTGCTACATGTTAGTCAATCTGATATGGTCACATACACATAACCACATTCATGATGTCCACATAGTCCTCATGCAATGCCATCAGCTCTGTATGTGTTTGTTCATATTTCTTCTAGATGTAATCGAGGCTCTATCGAACCCTATTCGCTATGTCAACCTTCTGGAGCAAAGATCTAAACAGCTGGCAGCCCTGACTCTGGAGGATGGCGAGGAGGACACGCAGACTGAGGTCAGACCTGCTTCGATTCTATTCATTCTTTGTCTCGTGAGCTAAAAGTTTGGCTGTAAAAGGTCTTGGTATTGATTTCCAGGAGGAGACTGAAAGCTGTGCAGAGCGTAAGACTGATCTGAAATCAGCTCCACTAGAAAACGGGCTTAGCCCGGTCTCTGGCCCACCGGGCCACACCCCCATCGCCACCACACCCAAAGCTTCTGCAGCCAATCAACAGGCAGCCACGACAGGTAGTTAGCAATTGCAAGTGAAGATGCACACACTAATGCAAATATTAAATGACTGATAAAAGTGAACTGCAGATATTCTAATGGTAATATGTACAAATACTAAATTTACTTTTTTGGTATGGATTTTCTCTTTTCTACATTTTAGATGCAGCCAAACCAGCAGCCAAGACTGAAGACCTGGTTTTAAGTGTTTTGATAGGTCAGTATTTACATAATTACACATTAAGATTTCTTATTTTAATTCTCTGAATTGGTCTGAAAGTGTGATTCAATGATAGCAAATTTAAAAAATAATTAAGAGCAAAATTAGCACTGAGTGTATCTTAAATATATCGTGTATTATATATGTTTATATAAAGGTGAGTCTAGGACTAGGTCTGAAAAGTGAAGCCAATCCATGCATGTCTTAAACCTGTGATTTTTCTAAAGGCTTGCAGAAGAAGTCTGTTTTCATAGAAGCAGGGAAAATTAACTTTATTGATTTATGATCTCAGGAAATACATTCCTACTAAGTATATGATCACAGTCATTAACATGAATGGCATCATTTTTTATTTTGTTTATTTATTTATTCATTTTATTTATAAAGTGTGGTGTACTTGAAGGTGATTCCGGAGAGTTTTAACACAAACTAATACACTGTATGATCTGTGATCACATATGGTAACAGATGTCCCAGTGTGCACTTTGGAGAATCTGCAGCAGTCCAAAGTTTACCAGAAGGAGCAGAGACGCCAGTTTAAAGAGCTGAAGGAGTTAGTGAGGAGACACCAGAAGAAAACGTCAGAACTCCTCCGAGAGTTCAACAATAAGTACAAGAAGACAGCAAGACAATGCAGCAAGAACAGGTACGCACACCAACGTTATTATAGTAAATAAAATAAAACTAACTAAAACTAAACTGAATTGAAAATTACAAAGTCAAAATGAAAAAAAAGAGAAAAATAATTATACATTTTAAAGCTGTAATAACTCTGACACACACAGACACGTTATGTTTGTGTTTTTTTAATTATAACATTTTTTTTCTCTTATCATATTGAAATAACACCTGTTATTTTACTGTGAAAGAGAGGGGAAAGTGTTTCATTTTAAAATCTTCGATTTGCCCTTGTCAGGAGTTCGAACTCGGACAGTGAGAAGGACGACCGTCTGCAGCAGCTGAGAGAAGAGCAGCATCAGCAGCTTCTGGCTCTGAGGCAGGAACAGTACTATAGTCAGAAATATCTGCAGAGAGAACACATTAAAACGGTAAAATCTAACAAAACGAACTTTTAAAACAAAAAAAATAGTTTCTTCACTTTTGATTGAAGTATTATTGACAAGGGAAACTCATAATAACATCTTCCCCAAAAGACAAATTGCTAATAAGTATCACGCTATGATCGGCATGACAGAAAGTCTCTCCCCCCCAGGCTGTATAGCAATAAGAATGATGTTTGACAGGCTCTGTGTTAAGTTAGCGCCTTCAGTTTTGAGCATGTCTGTAAAATGTATTTGTGTGAACCAGTGTCTTTGTTCCCTCCAGCTGACGGAGCGGCTGACCAGTCTGGCTGAGGAGAGTCACAACACCCAGATGAAGAAGCTCAAAGACATCTGTGACAAGTGAGATAAAAATCTGTGACTGAAGTCTCACGGGTCTTTAAGCTCAGAGGAATTCCACATGGTGTTAGAGTTATTTTCATAGCAGCAGTAGCTTGCAGAGCATTCCCTCTGAGCTGCTTCAGGCAACAGCAGGTTGGATTTTTGCAGGGCATGGTGCCATTCTTTATGGTCTTTATACCATAAAGACAAAATTTGACAACCTCCCCTTTACACTTAATGACAAGTTTGGATGTGTCGGTATATACGAATAAAGATGTGGTTTGACAACCACTAGAAACCGTCCTCCCTACTTCTGATGCAAACAACTCGGCTCAGAAAAGAGCTGCACGGATAACTACTAGTAGGCTTTCAGGGGGCTAAGAGTTAATTTTGAATTTGATCCTAGCAATACAACTAAAAAAAAAACAGGGTGTGTTTACTACTGTGTAGCATCACCTCATTTTTTAACAATGGTCTGTTTTCTTATTTTTTAAAACAAGGTCTGGACTGCAGGTCAGCTTTGGATTCTTCCAGTACAAAGCCAGGCTGTCACAATAGTTGCATTTGAATTCTCTTGCTGAAATCAGCAAGGCTTTCCCTGAAAAACAGCATCATCTGCATGTGAATGTATATTTCCATAAAAATCTGTATATACCTTTCAGCACTGATGGTGCCCTTCCAGATGTGCAAACCGCCAAGTCCACACTTATAAATGAGTGCTGATAACAAGCCAGATGGTTCCACTCGTCTTTAGTCCAAAGGATGTAGTTTCCATGTTTTCCAAAAGAAAATCTCAAATTGTTCTCATACAGGTTTCCAGTTTGCCTAAATGAGTTTTGGCAGCAACGTTTCTGGATTATGTTCACATATGGATTCTCCATTGTGTGATAGAGCTTTAACCTGCATTTGTGGATGGCACAGCAAATCCACAGTGTTCACAGACACTGATTTCTGGAAGTGTTCCTGTTTGGATGTATTTGCATATTCCAGTAAATAAAACATGTCATTTATTTATTTATCAGGCACATTTTCACATAAGCATATTTTCCTTTTCAAATGAAATCATAATCACTGTTTTGACACCTAATTATGACAACATAATATATCTACTGCCAGCATTTTGAGAAATATTTATATTGTAAAACATGAAACTAATGATCTGCAATATTATTAATTTTTTATATTGAAAGTAATGTAGAAATTCTCCTAGTATTATCATATTAAATGGTGGAAGAAAAACAGACAAAGCATGCATTTAACAGCTTAAAATTATAGGCAGTTACCTTGAAATGCTTAAATGGCTCCTAGAGCTAATTGAAGGTGATTTAATAATTCAGTTCAATTCAGTTTTATTTATACAGCACCAATTACAACAACAGTCGCCTCAAGGCACTTTAGATTATAAGTGGGAAGGAAAAACTCCCTTTTAACAGGAAGAAACCAGGCTCAGGGAGGGGCGGGGCCATCTGCTGCGACCGGTTGGGGTGAGAGAAGGAAGACAGGATAAAGACATGCTGTGGAAGAGAGACAAAGGTTAATAACAAGTATGAGTCGATGCAGAGAGGTCTATTAACACACAGTGAGTGAGAAAGGTGACTGAAGAAGAAACACAATACAGCATAGGAATCCCTCAGCAGCCTACACCTATTGCAGCATTACAAAGGGGGGATTCAGGGTCTCCTGATCCAGCCCTAACTATGTGCTTTATCAAAAAAGAAAACCTAGCTAAGATTAGCTAAGGCTTAATCTTAGGTATTTATCTAGTTAAGATTAAGCCTAATCTTAAAAGTAGAGATAGTGTCTGTCTCCCAAATCCAAATTAGAAGCTGGTTCCACTGAGGAGGGAAAATGAAGGCTCTCCCTCCCATTCTACTTTTGAATACTCTGGGAGCAACAAGTAAGCCTGCAGTGTGAGGCATGAAAGCTCGTTTTGACCTCCGCATTTTCTATTGGCCCCAGAGGGAGCAACTCCACTGGAAGCAAAAATTAGATGTGAATTCCACAACAGAAGCCATGATGGTAAAACCATGGCTTCTGTTATATAAAAAATATAAATAAAAAAAAGCTTTTAGTTTGAATCAGATTCAAGTGGTAATTCTATGCTTTCAGTTTTTACATTGTAGTAACAATTAAAATAAGGTTAACAATAGAAAGGGACAGATTAGAGGGCATCGTATGGGCAATTCTTCAAATACCGGCCCAAATAATTGCCAGGAAGAGTTATCAAGATGGCTCTGGATTTTTAGCCTTGCTAAAGATGTCTTTTTAAAGTACATGATACTTTATATGTACCCTATCTTATTTCAGCTGTTCTTCAAAAGATACTATGAGCCAGACTTTTACCCAGTGCACTTCTAAAAACTTGATACCATGTTTTTCCCCAAACATTTGCCCTAATCTTTCTTTCTGCTTCTATAGGGAGAAAAAAGAGCTGAAGAAGCAGATGGATCGAAGGAGAACAGAGAAGATCAACCAAGCAAAGACCAAAGAGAAACATCTGGCTGAGGAGTACGATCTATAAGCACACGCACACACATTTCACTATTTATCTAGCTGCTGTAGCTTGCTCATCTGCTTCATGCACTGATCCACTGATCTAGTCTCATTAGAAGAGAAAAATATTTATCTCAGATCCAATCAATGTCAATCCATTTGTCTCTATGTTCCCAGGGAGAAGATTGAGATCAATAAGTCCTACGTCAATGAAGTCGTCCAGAACATTAAAAGGGTGAGCAGCAGATGAGGTTAAAGGAATTTTTATGGGCCTTTCCATAAAGTGAATTCCAAAGAGACAATTATGAAAATGTTATGGCTGCAACACTCGCTCCATTTAGTGCAACTCTGTCTGTATGTCTGTTTGTTTATCCTCAGCTTGAGGAGACTCAGGCAAAGCGCCACGAGCAGCTGGTGGAGCAACACAATGATCTCCTGCAGGAGATACAAGACCAGAAGCCAAAGGTAAATACAAGTTTCTCTTTCTGTCCACAATTAAATTCATTTATTTTTAGCCAAAGTCGGTGAAATCTGCCACCGACCACTTTGCAAGCTTCATGCTCAAATGCACTGCTTGGCAAGAACATTTCTTGTACACGAGGCTCCAAACTGGTGCTGCTGTCTGCCCACACCCACGCACTTTAGAGGCAGCGCTGACGTCAACGTGGGGCATTTAAAGGATGCAATGTGGCCTCTGGCAGCCATATTGGAGCTGTTCGAGTGTTGGCAGAAACGGCTGACAACAGCTGGTTGCGTTTCTGAATGTACAACCCATCTGTCTCAACTGTAGGAGATAACTAAACAAATTTGTGTGGTGTTTCTGACTGGGACCTGACTCATCATGGTTATATTTCGCTACATCTGCCGTTATGTAATCCCACCTTAGCCACAAAAAATCTTTAAAAGCAATCTATCCTCAGTGAGCAAGCGATTGTGTGTGGTGTTTTCCAGCTGCAGGGCTCTGTGGAGGCAGAGTTTCAAGAGAAGTTCCAGCGTTTGCCTGGAGAGATTCACGACTTCCTGCAGGACAGGAAGTTGGAGGCTCGAGGCCACAGCAAGTCACGACCTTCCACCCCACATGAAGCTCTTTCAGAGGAGGACTGAAGAGGGGAAAAAAGGATGAAGGAGCGAGGGGGAACGAGGAACGAGAACAATTGGATCAATGGAAGCAGCGTGGAGTAGATCAATGAAATGCAAAGCATGAGAATAAAAGATAACAAGAAGTATTGATGAAGAGGACGTGAAAGAGTAAATAATCAAGTTTATATAGACTGTTACTTCTTTTTAATGGAAGAATGCTTTAACAATTTATTTTTTATTCCATTCTAGCATGAACTTTGTGTGTTTAATACAAGTGTTTAATCAGACCCCGTTTAGTCTTGCATTAAGTCTTCTATTCTGTCATCTGTTATTTTAGACCTCAACAGTTTGTACTGCATGACTGCAAATCAATCTATCTATCTATCTATCTATCTATCTATCTATCTATCTATCTATCTATCTATCTATCTATCTATCTATCTATCTATCTATCTATCTATCTATCTATCATCTATCTAGCTATCATTTGAAGATCACTGAACATACATCAGGCTCTGTCTTATTGGAGAGAAATCTTTACAAATATAGAGTTTTCAACAGAGTTTCAACAAATTCTAAGCAGCTGTTTGCCCTTTTTACTTGTCCAGTCTGCTATAACAATGTCAAAAAATTAAAAAAACTACAAAGCTAGAACAATTCCATCCTGGAGCACTCGGCGCCATGCTTTTGCAAACACAATCAGCACACTTGGTCTGGTGCTGCCAAGAATAAAATGCACTGTAGCATTTGTTTGAGCTGAGAGTTTTTAAAACAGAACCACTAACGTCTGGGTTTTGTTAAATCTCTCAAGGACAGAAAAAGACATTTTGCAATTCACAATTCTCCCAAGTATCTCCACTCCAAGGCTGGCTGAACTCACAGTTGGAAGCTGTTACTCACTAAATCTGGATGAAACTCTTTTATTTAGAAAGACAGAAAGATTAGAATTTAAGGGGTTAATACATGACAACAGTTAATGCTGTATTTTTTTTATGCATTTATTTATCACTGTTATTATAAACGCTTTCTTTTATTTTTATTTTATTTTTGGCTAGCATCACTGATATAGCCACAGGCTACATGCCTGACTTCCGAGCAGCTTTGCAGCTGGGATGTTGGTGATTTTGTCAGGGACACCTCAGTGGTGGAAATGCAAGAGAGGCAAATGTTTTCCTTTTTCTGCCTACATCCTGATAATAATGCATTCTGTTTCTTTTTTTGATTTTAAATAGGATTTTTTTTTTCCCTGCTTACTGTCATACAGATGAGGTGTGATTTTTTTTTAAAGGAGCTGACAATAACTCCATAATATAAAAAACCTTTACCTGCTGTAAGTTTGTCTAATCTCCCTTAAAAAGTCATCTTCTGGTGCACATCTGGATAATTTTTAATAGAGATGCTTTTTTTTTTAGATCTCCCAGTGGAAGTCCCTCTTTGTCCTCTTGCACTTGTGCCTCTGTGACAGACGCTGGATCTCCTCTTATGTGTCACAACTGCGATCCTTCAATTTGATTTTCAATTCTATAATTGTTGCAGGGAGACAAATCTAGTGACTGGTCTAAAGCAGTGTGCAAAGGTTGTTTTAGTGGCTTAAAAAGTCCTGCATTTTCAGTTCTGTTCTGAATGTTCTCCTTTAAATATCCTTCCACTGACTCAAGTTGCTACAATTATATTCAGTCTTGACAGTCTCTCACTGAGAGGTGAATTTATAATTTAAAGCCATATGTAGTTTGAAAGAAAATGACAAGCATTCTCTCACTGCCACTTCTCGTCTGAAGAGATGCCTTTACAAGTGGAAACGGTGAAGTCTTCAACTGGAAAGAGACCCTGCTCACATTACAATTAATGACCATCCACACAAAACTCAGGTCAGTTTGAAGCAGAGGTTGATGTTTTCTCTCTGTACAAGCTTGGAGTGAGTAGGGAAATCACTGACCAAAGGTGCAAGGGGTCACAATGGGACTTCAGATAATTTTTTTGTACTCTTCGCTCCGTTTCAGGCAAGTCCCAACTGCTTTTCCATCCTTGGGTTAGGAAGGCCAGACAATCAGAAGGCTTAAAGCAAGAGAAGTCTTAAAGGATGATGAATGAATCAACAGTGCTTCAACAGTGCCCAGTATAAGATAAATAAGGCTTATTTTCACCTGTGAGTTGTGCAAAGCTACTTTAGCTTTGCCCAAGAACAAAAATATGAGCATAGTAGGTCCTCTGTCAGTAATTCTTATCCTAAACCTTTGCCTCATGCAGTTGCATAAACATCTAATTTCATATTTGTGGTTTCAGGATTCTGTTATATAAACATATTGTCATGTGTTATATTTCAAGAAGTTAATATCCAGCTCTTTGTATGTGTGTAGGTGTGTATCACTCATCCATATACTGCATTATCTGAACATTAATAAGGATTTTGACACAACTGTTTTAAGGATTTTTTTAATGGCAGAACTCTGTGTTTTATTCTAGCAGAAATTATGCTAGTTCCCAGTAAGTGTGTATCATTATCTGCTTTGTGTATTTATTCATGAGATTTTGGCAGGAAATGTAAAACTGATATGTTTTTTCATTGTTTTGTTTTTTTAAAGACTGTTAGTAGAAGACATGTTTATACGAGTGAGAAGGATTTGCACTGAAAGATAAAGTACAAAGGTTTTATTATCGGCCTATTTTGGATTTTTTTCTGACTACTGTAGTTGCAGCAATCACCCCCTCGACTTGCCCCAGATGCTGCTGCAGAGCTGATTTGGTGGCCAGGCGTCTTTGTTAAATGTGAAAGTCTGCTGCCACTGCATGATTTATTTGTTCTAATGTGAAAGATGTACATAACGTAGTCCTCATTCTGATGACGTATGGATTTATCGGTTGCTATTTTCCTGATATTTAACAGCATAATTTGTAAAGTTTTACTTTGCTGTAAAAATGTAAAATGATTGGAGCTTGTTCCTCTTTGTATAGTGATCTTCCAGAACAATATTTGTTGGAACATTTTCCATGATGTTTTTTTTTTTCCTCTAAGGCCTCAGCTGCTTTCAACAACTTTTTTTTTTGCCGTGAACCTTTACTTCAAATTTAAGCCACACATGATTGAGCTGAACAATCTGGGGTCACTGTCTGTTCCTGACCTCATAAAGGTAGCTTACACTTGCAGTCTTCATGGCAATATAGAGACTCAGTCATTAACTTTTCACACTAACATCAGAGTGCCTCATCATTCACTAAATTGTCTATTAAAGGATGTTCATGTTTGCAAAGTGGCTGAGGTTCTACTGCAAAAATGTGTTGTTGAACATGCCTCATGCTTTAGCACATATACTGAGCATGCTTTATCGTATTAGATTTCTCCACCAGTTGAATTGTTTCTTGGGTTAATTGAATGCTATTTTAAGACCAGACTATTAAATATTTGATCTAAAAAACAAAGTGTTCTTGGAATGTTTTTTCTACCATTACAGTTGAAGACTTACAGTGTTGCGAGAAGATGCACTGTTCAGGCACCGTGTGAGAGGAGGTAATTGCTGTTGTCAGCCTCGTCAAAAGCAAGCCCACTGAATCGTGCCTGTTCACAAAACTTTGCTGTTGCTGTAATAGCGTGCACAGCCGGGATAACGTGAGCTTTCGGGCGCCGTACTGAAGGTGTGGGGGAGGAAAGTGGAGGAGCTGAGCGGCAGTCTGTCACAGGAGATTAATGTGACTATGATGACCTTTCTGCTTCCTAAATAACAAAACATGTAGTGAACTGAATCAAACCGTACATGAACTATTAATTAAACACAACATATATTCCGAAAATATTTTTAATTATGTTTCCTTAATATACACAACATATTTGTCAATAGAACTTTCCTCTTGTATGTTTTCACTTGCCCTGATGTCATTTGCGTTGTTTTTTAACCGTATAAGATGATTTTCTGACAGATGTTTTCTGCATGACTCTGCTGCCCTCTAGTGAGCAAGAACAATAACGCAGGTGTAATGATAAAATTTAAACTCAGACCAGAATTCAAATCTTTTTTTTGTTGTTGTTGCTGATTGTGTCTTTAGATTTGTTGTTGCACTGAATTTTGTGAGATCTGTAATAAGACATTTATCGCCAAATTTATCAGCTAACCAAATTTACAACTCTTGAAATGCTATACCGAACACAAATATTTACAATAGTCTCTTAACTGGTGCCCTTAACTTGTTTTATTTTACATTACTGTCTTAAGTAAAAGTCATAATCTCCCTGTAGCAATCGAGCAACAGTTGTATCCTAAAATCATCCTTAAAGTATTTAAGTTGAAATACTCAATATGCAGAATGGAACATTTGTGAACATATTTTATTATTGGATCATAATTGCTGAATTTTTTAATCTCACAGCTCGATATGAATTTATTATTTAGCTTAATTAAGCTTTGTCAGTAGTGATACAGTATAGTATATGGCCATTTTATTGTGTACATCTTGCTAATACTGTGTTGGACCCCTTTTTGCCTTAAGAACTGCCTTAATTCTTCATGTCGCAGATTAAAAAAGGGTTCTGCGAGCATACTTCAGATATTTTTGGTCCATGTTAACAGGATGGCATGACATACTTGCTGGAGATTTGTCAGCTGCACATTCATGATGAGACACTCCTGCTCTACCAGATCCCAGAAGTGCTCTATCATTGAAATCTGGTAACTGTGGAGGCCATCTGAGCACAGTTAACTCATTGTCACGTTCAAGAAAACAGTATAAGATGATATGACACATTTCCCTGTAGGAAGCAGCCATCAGAAGATGGGTACTCTGGTCACAAAAGGATGGACATGGTCAGCAACAGTAGTCAAGTCAGCTGCGAAGCTTACATGATGCTAAATTGATACTAAGGTGTCCAAAGAGTGCCAAGAAAATATCCCCACACCATGACACTACCGCCGGCCTGAATAATGTTGTTTATACCACATTGTGACTATCTGAATGTTGCATCAGAATCAGTTTTACAATCTTGTCTTTTCCAGTTTTGATAAGCAGTAACTGTATCCTCAGTTTGTATTCTTAGCTGAGGAACGTAGCACACCGTGTGGTTTTCTGCTGATTCTTCTGCTCCAAGGTCCAACATGTTGTGCACTGAGTGGTGCTGTTCTACATAACTCGGTTGTGTTTATTTGAGTTACTGTTGCCTTCAGCTCTAAGCAGTCTGGCTATTCTGCGCTGGCATGAACAAGACCTTTTCACGCAAAGCTCGCTGGATATTTTGTCTTTTTGTACCACTCTCTACAAACCTGAGGTATTTGTGCAGGAAAATCCCAGCAAATCATCAGTCTCTAAACTAACACTATTCTGATTTTCACTTTGAAGGTCACCGGCAGGTTGTCTTTACAATCTTTCAAATCTAAATACACCAAGGGTCTGCCATTTACTGGATAATTAGATATTTGCATTGATGAGCAGTTTTCCAATGAAGTGGCAGTATAAGAAGGTTTATGTTTTAAAGTCCACAAAATAAAGAGTAAAGTTTTCAAATAAAACAGTATGGAGTACAAAGTACAATGCTGGCATAAAGAAATAACAGGTTAGAGGCAGATAAACACCTTCAGTAATTACTTGATTAACTCTAATAATTAATTGCTCAACAGGTGCTATTCATGCTCATCAAAGGTGTTGGGCACCATTAGATTACTAGGGGTCAACCCACACTTCTCCTAACTTTTTAGTTTTTAGTTTAGTTTCAACCTTGCGCCAGTTAGTTGCACTTCCGCTTCCTTCCAGCAGATGGTGCCATTGACTCACAACTAACGATCCAC